AAACAAATTTTGATTGTTGAAATAGTTTTAGACTTTTCTTCTTTTTTTTTTTTTTTTAATATATTCAAAATTAACTACTTGATAGTGAAGTGTTATAACTCTTGACCTCTAACTTTGACTTTACATTAAAGTTTTTTAAATTAATAAATACAAATTTAGGCAAAAACACTTATATATTAAAAATTATTTAGATTTTTTTACAATTATAAAACATATATATGCACTTATTTTTTTTAAAAAAACAGCAAAAAAAATTTTTTATTGATAGAGTATAAAAGATACTCTTACTCTTACGTGCACATGTTACTCTTTACACTGAAAGTGAATATATACCCTGCCCAAACAATCAAAGTCTCCCCTTGCCTATCGCTTGCATCTTCAGTAAAAATACTCATAAAAATTTGCAAGCGAGACACCTGCACATCTTCACCTACTAGCTTGCTTTAAATTTTTCCTACCTCCCTCACATTGTTCCTATACACATTATTCGGTTGTTGCACCAATCCATGAAAGACATATCCACCGCCCACATCCACCTCAGTCCCTACAAATGCTTGTTTATTTCTACTCAGCCACACTGTCCACAAAATTGCAAACCAGATCACCTCCCAGAAAACACGCCTCTTTTTTCTCACTCCAATCCATACATACTATTAAAAAAAAAAGTCGACAATAATTAACTTGTATACAACAAAGCGGTTTCATAGTTTAAATTACAAAATAAAAACTATTAGTTAAAAATAAAAACTATTGGTTAAAGAGATAATATATAGTATCAAAATACTCATCCTCATTCAATAATTTAAATAATGTATATAATATAGTGCAATTCAGATTATACAACATATTTTTGTTAGAAAAAAAAAAAACATAGGTGCAAAACAACTTCTACAATATGGTAAAAGCTTCAATATGTTTGACTTATAAATTACTAAAGCTGATAACAACCAATAAACATTTCATAACTTACAATATAATTCAAACTAAAATATAAACAAAAATAGACCAATTTGAAGGTCGAGGATAACTTGCACATAACAGGACTTGAAAATGAGCCTTTAGAGTGCATTAGACATTCAAGGATAAGTATGTAATAAAATATTGCGAATATCTTTCTAACCTATTCTAACATTAGATATTAAGATATTCAACTTAAATATTCCATATATCCTTTATAAGTTAAACATTCATGAGTATAGATTGATCTAAACAAGGCCAGACAATATATCTCGAGTTCATCGTGCATTTCGAAAGTACAATAATAATAACTTGGAGAAGAGAAACAGACATGAATTGCTGAAAGAGTGCTTTAGATCACTTTTGACAAACTCAGCATGCAATCCCTCCAAAGTGGAAAACAAAGCTCGAAAACATCCTTAGCATTTGTGTCATACGGTTCGCTAAAAGCAAAACATAAGTTTGAAACAAAGCAACTTTCAATTATTTTATGCATCCAAAACCCATTTTCTTTAATTAATTAACCCCAAACACTGTTGAATGTGAATGTTACACGGCTATTCTTGCTTTGTTTTTAGGAAGCTTCTTTAATGGGAAGAACTGTTTGTTTAATACAATCACTATAGCAAAGTTAAAAACATGTTAAACAACCCAAGCATCATACTTTTTTCTCTTTGATAAAAGTTTCAACACCTAATGTCGGGTCTATAAAGAGCACTACATATCACTCGTGGATCCGTACGTGCACTTAAGGGGATTATGCTTAATTGCCCTGTCAACAAAAGAAGCTTATGATTAAACTTCTCGACTTAAATATTACTTATGAAAAGAAAAGAAAAACATGGTTCGATTTGAATGATTAAAGTGTTGTATAAAGTTTTTGAATCAAAATCCACAATGTGAAAGGAAATGTGACATTAAGCTGGCTAGTTCTATGTACATAATTTTGTAACATTAGTTTATCATCATTACACAAATTTATTAAATGACAGTACTATAGTTATAATAATGCATAAAATTATAAAATATACAATTCTAACTTGTTATCAAATGAATATAACGTTATATTAAATAAATAAATACATATAATAATATAAATAAATTATAAATATAAACAATTAATTATATAATACATATCATGTTATAATTTATAAATTTATAATATCACGTGATATTATAATTATATTATTTTAATTTGTAATTATTACCAACAACCTTATAAAAGAACGGAGGATGGTATAGACTGAGTGGGGCCATGGCCCCGCAAAAAATTATCAAAACCTTTGCTTATCTTCGGAGTTTTTCGTTATTTAGTCCTTCAACATTTTATGTTTTAAAACTTACATCCTTAAAAGTCTTTCTGGTCCCCCCTAAAATTTTACTCAAATCCCTGACGTTAGAGGATTGATTAGGTAGGGTTATCAAGTCGGAATTACTTTTACCAAAAGATGAAAAAATAATAATTATGGGCCAATTAAATAAAATTTGACGAAAGTCAGAGGGTCACTCATAAGAATATGGTCAAATTATTGGTAATTTCAGACAATAAAAGAATTGATTAATGTAGATTATTGATTAATTAAGCTCAAGTGGAAAAATGGATGTGGGAGGAGTCAGCTCCACCAATATTGCTAGCCGCAGTTAGATAATCTTTTTAATGACAAGTCTGAGTCTGACTGCCCCATTGTATAAGATTAAAATTAACACAACAAATGTTAAAATTGACATTGAATATTTATTTGCAATAACACCTAATTTTCTCTCTTTCACATTTGTTTTTCAATCTAATTGTAGAAGTTTCTATAAAATATAAAAATTAACCAAGTATTTTTAATAGAAAATTACCATCTTTAATTTTATGGAAAGGTGTTTTTCAAGTGGATTTATAAGAAAAAAAAATTAGAGGAATGCTCATGAAATTATTTAAATATTTTTAGTAAATCCTCATTATCCTCATATAATGAGGATTCATTAAGAATTTTTAATTAATTTTATAATTATTTCTATACTTTTTTAATTGAATTTTTTTAAGAGTATAGATTAAAGATTTTTTTGTCATACATATATATAGAAGAATGTAAAAATTTATATTAATTTTTTATTATTAATGCTAAGTGAATGAATTTAACTAAATAGTTGGTAAATTAAATGATAATTTTTATTTTTTTAATAAAAATATATTTATTATACTTTTAATATGTGCTCTTTGAGTATATATTAGAAAAACTCATTTCAAATTTTAATATATCTTATTGATAAACTCAGAGCCCATAAATCAAGACCATTGAAGTTTTGTTTAGACACGAGGCTCCGCTTCGATAAGCCCAGTTTTGAAGTTAAAAAGACTATCCAATTAGGTTTTCTTTGCTGAAGCTCTGTTTTAGTGTTGCGAATAACAAAGGTTCTGAAGCAGCTGCTAGTTTTTGTACTCCTACCTAGACTGATTGTATTTGATGTATTTCCTTTAATAGGAATGCCTATGAATATTTTCTGACAAGATGATTGCATTGCTGGTGACTAATTGTTGATACTTTGATATCCAAGAGTATAGGGACACCAATTTTAATTTAGCATTTTAGCTGTCTTAATGTAGAATTTTAGAGTGACATGTTTGATTCTAGCTTTCTTTCTATAGGCTCTGTGGCAGCTCCTCTGGGTAAATCCTACAGCTCAACCTAATTCCACTAAATCTGCCTCCAATGCTTGTTTACTTAAGAGGCAACCTCTTAAAGCTATTCAAAATAGGTTTAGCACTGTAGCCTCAGAGCTCCTCACACAGGTACAAATCTAATTATTGGATATAGGATCTTGTCCCTTTGGTTCATTTTGACATTTTCTCATCATAGATGATGTCTCAATTCGTTCATTAGTATTAAATATAATCTTTGTTATGCATCTGATGGAATAATGATGTGCGGGTAAATTTATGCTTTTTATTGCCCTTTTGATCTTTCTTATCTAAATTTCTTTTATACTTGCAAGATTGGAACAACAGACGCGCCAGTTTATACCCACTAGTGGTTTCCATGCTGATGTGGTTAATTACTACTTTATTTCTCAGGTAACTGCTTCTCATTTGCATCATGGGATTCCTGGAACTATATATATATATATATATGTGGAGAGAGAGACTAATGAGTATCAACTTGTATTACAAAAAATTAAATGAAAAAAATACTCAAAATTACATCATTTTACTAAAATATTATATAGAAAAGACTAAAAAACCCTCATTTATGCTTTAAAAATTATGAAATTTTTAGCCATTTTCAATCGAATTTTATTAAAATGACATAGTTTCATAATTTTTCTTTTTTTTTTTTTGCATAAACTTTTGCAATATATATGAGTGTTAGTGTTTATCAACATTATATCTTAAAAAATATAAGAGAAAATGAGAAATTATTTTAAAACTATATCGTTTTAATAAAATATCACAAAAGAAAAAACCAAAAACATTATAATTCCTGGGCAGATGGGCACTTTTGCTATATATATAAATATATAAGCAAGTGGATAAACCTCGCAACACATGGGCATTAGATCTTTCTATCAACATGCCATGGATCCATTAATCTTGTGAATTTTTATATTGTACTCTTATAATAGCGTAGTGCCCTAGTCTTTTAAAGGAGACTAGCTGAACCACCCCTTTCCGCCGGGCGTAGTGGATGGTATATCCTTTCCTTGCTCAGATGACAAAATCTTACAGCTCATTGAGTTGCAAGCAGAGAATTACATCCAAGCCGTTAGAGGGCATGTTCGAAAATTTATATCAAATTCATCTGCTTTGGGTAGTTCGATCTTATTACTTTGATATTAAGAGCAATTGTAAGATTAGTTCATTTTGAGTAAAAGCAACCAAAAATTACCGCTTTATTTTCGGATATGAACTTGCAATAATGGTCTTATTAAGTTTCTCTTTCTGAAAGCCCGATCGAGAACTATTGACACCATTTTATTCTTCCTTGTTAATAATGACATAGAATGTCAATCATGTTGAAGTAACATAGAAAAAGTTTACATAATATAATTTGAAACACAGAAAAAGAAGTCTTTCATTGATCAATGATACTGGAATCTTTCACACTCATGTCCTCAAATTGCAAATCACAAGACTAATAACTTATGATAAGCAAATTAATATAACATTTATAACGTAGTGCATTTAAAGTTCAATTGCAGTTGAATCACTAAATTAT